TTTTTTTTAAGTTGAAAACAAATCTTTCCTTCTGCAGAAACTCAGAGAATACTTGGAAGGTAGCAATCTCATCACAAAACTTCAAGCCAAACATGACTTGTTGCAGAGGACCCTTGGAGAAGGTCAGTCATTTGAAATAGTTGGGAAGATGATGTCGATTCTCTATTGTGTCATGGCTACATCTCACGAAGTGTGTGTATTGTGCCTTTGTGCTTTAAGAAGCAGAGAACACTGTTTGTTTAGATTTGGCTTTCTCTGTCTGTAATAAACCAACTTCTCCCTGGAACTATAGAAGGTGCCCAAAAAAATGTATACACATTTTAAGAAAGGAAAAAAACTGTATTAAAATTGTAATACTTAATATATACCAATAAGAAAAGATGAATACAAGTCATGTGTATACATTTTTTGGCACCCCCGATATTTTCTTTTTCAGTCTATTTTAACCGAGGGACAACAGTGAAATCTAGGGAGGGCTGAGCAGCCAACACAGAGCTCCTGAGGCTGGGTCTTTAGAGCTGCTAACAGTAGAGAAGTCGGAAGGAGCTGTGTTTGCCCCTACCAGCTGGCCCCCTGGTCACTTCTTCCTTTCCTCCTTGGACTTTCCACCCCTCCAGCCCCAATCCGTTTGTTTTAATGGGCCAATTTTGGGGGGGGGTCTCATTAAAAGCCTTTTTGGACTCTAGAAACCAGTTAAACCCGTTTGGGTGACTTTTTCCCCCCTTTCCATAGGCATTGGTTTTAATTGAGAAATAATCTCATCAAATATATTGCTATATCTAATAATAGCAAAAACAATAGTTATCACTTATGTAAGGCTTTCTCTGTGCCAGGTGTTGTTCTGAGATATATATTTTATTGGACACTTAATTGATTTCCCCATTTTTTTTTTGTTGTTAAGATTTTATTGGGGAATTGGGGGGAGGGGAACAGGCAAGTTGCTGTTACTTTGTTCTTCAGTCTAGTTGTGGAGGACGTTGCTTCACTGGCCCATGTTGGTACCATCATTGCGCTCTTCCTGGGTGATGCAGATCGGTTGCTGGCCTCTGGACGGCCGCTCACGGAGGCTCTTGGCAGCTCACACCGGCTGCTGGCCACACACAGTAGCTTATGGCAGCCCCACTGCAGCCCACGCCATCGCCAGCGACTCACAGCAGCCCAGCTCCAGGTCGAGCTGTTGTTCACCATCTTAGCTATGAGGACGCAGTGTCACTGGCCCTCATGTGGGATCCAAACCGGGGCCCTCTGGCATCCCAAGCCAGCTCTTAACCAACGCGCCACTCGGCCGGCCCAATTTCCCCATTTCTACAGATGAAAAACTGAGGGAAGAAAAAAGGATTATAGGCAAAGGGGACTATGTAAATGTTACTCTTTCTCAGTCGTCTTCAGGAAATTTAAAAGGAAACACTAACTAAAAGCAAAACCCTGTCTTAAGTTCCTCAGAATCTGTAACTTAATTTTATTTCTTGTTTATACCAGATCCTGTTAGAAGTTTTAAAAAGGGAAAGAGACTATGAAGGGGAGTGGGAACGAGGGGAGTGAGTTGTATGAATAACTCAGGCCAAAAAAAGAGATTGCTGTTCTTTGATGTCAACTCTTGCTTCCTACCACTCTAGAACCTTCCTTCCCCTAAAGAAGTTTTTCCATCACCTTATTTCCTTGTGTTCTCCAAAGGACCCAGTTATCCTCAGGGCATGACGACATGGGTAAAGGTCATCATTACCTAAGACTATGCATTACAGTTAGGATGCCAGATTCTAAGCTAAAAGGCCAGTTTCACTTTGAAAAAAATGTGTACTACTAAAAAGTGTCTTTAAAAAAAAGAAATAGCCACACACAATGTGTGCACTTTCATTAGATTCTGAATCCAAAAGCAAAATTTATAGAAGGCATTTTAAAGGCACCTGGGGAAATTTAAATATAGACTATCTATTAAATGATATTATTGAGTTAATGTTAATTTTCCTAGATAATGGTGATATGGTTATGAAGGAGAACAGTCTTATTCTTAAGAAATGCCTGCTGAGTGTCAGAATGTTTGCAACTTTCAAAATGGTTCATGAAAAAAGATGCCGGGGTGGGGAGGGGGCAGAAAAAGAAATATGGCCCATGTGACAAAATGTTACAATTGGGAAATCAAAGTGAGGGGCACATGAATATTCCCTGTACTAGTCTTTCAACTGTTCTGTAACAGAGGTTTCCACTTTTTCTAAAAAAGACCTTTTTTTATTTTGAATAGTTGTCTTACCTCAGCAATTGTATCCTATTTGGGGGCGGGGTAGGGGTTGGTTTTGTTTTTTTCTTCCTTCAAGGTATCATGTGAGGTTTTTCTTTTTTTTTCTCCATTTGTCACAAACATGCTTGATATTTCACTGATGCCCTCAAGGTCAGTGGCCAGTCCCAAGGCAGATTGTAATAAATGTAGATGAATGCTTATAGGCGCACAGTCCTTCCCTATGGGACTGGATACCACGTTAGAAATTGTGAGTGGAAGGGAATTAAGAAGAGGATGAATTCATTCTTGGCAGTGCATGCAAATGCGCGTGTCAATACACTTGGGATCTCATTCCGAAACTTTTATGGTACTCATTCTACATAGATTTCCTTATGTCTCCTGGAAAGAAAATCCCAATGGTTAATATTATTTTACATACCATTTTTGGATACGGCTATATTTTAGCCAATTTGCTGAATCTGTACACCAGACTCCATCTTTACTTGCTGAACTGTGTGAAGCTATATTGTACTTTGTGACCTCTAAGCCAGGATTTATCTTGGAATTTCTTTCAGTAATTTCCAGTGTCCTAGTGACACAAGCTGTCTTCAGGTATGCCAGCCCCTCACCGGACTAGATTTATTCTGAATGCAAAATGGGATGCTTCTCATCCGGTGGCAGCTGACACACTAGCCTGTACCCACTGGTTACAGACCTCTCTGCTTCTTGGGCCTGCCTGCCCCATGTGTAGGCTTGGCAACACACCAGTTGTTGGTCACTGCCTGGAGTTGCCACTGGCAGCTCTGCCCAGAGAAAAGCTGAGCACGGGGAACATGCTCCACCTTTTAGCTTCACCATTGTGAGCCTGCTGGCTTTCCATGGAGCCCTGTTCGTGTTAATAGGCTTACACTGAAGGAGAGTTAATGGCGCCTGTCCCATGGTGAGATAATCCAATGGCAAGCCCTTCTGAAGGAATCCAAGTCTGGGTTTGGCTCATAAATAAGGTTAGTAGCACAGGTTTAAATGGTGCATTTGGGGACAGTCCTGACTTCTTATGTAGAAATTACATCTCTAAACTAGACTCACCGCTGCAAAAACTGCTTTCATAGTAAAACAAATAGAGCCTAACCCAGGGATTTAGCAGTTGATCGTATACAACTGAAACTATAACTGGCCTGTCTTACTGCTCACTTTTGGCAGGCTACCAGTGGCCCAGTAAGTCCTTTGATTTAAAACATTTTGAAGCAACTAGATTGGGCTCTTAAAGTGGCACCGTCAAACTTCAGAATTCCAAATCTTTGAAAACGATGGAAATAGAAAAAAAACACAATGATTTGTTAAGACCAAAGTTATCGTCGTCTTCATCCTTCAGCAACACCATTACATCTTTTTTGTGAAGTCATTTGTTTTTAAATTGGAGAAGTTAAATTGAGCACAGTACATGAGCACTGAAATTTTTTTCTTTTTCTTTTTTCGTCATGAGCCTTAATATTCACATGGCTTCTTTGTGTGCAGCATTTGGAACTGAGAGGATGTAAATATCAATGCAAATCTGCTAAACACAGAAAACCTGACACTGGAAGCTCCGTTCCATGTTGTATTATTCCTAGCAAAGGAGTTAAACAGGTTATCCTCACACAATCTGTTGTCTGTCTTTGAGGAGGAGTAAAAATATACTTTCAAAAGAGATGATTGTGAATAATTATGTTTTTTAGAAAAACCCTGCATCAGTTGGTATTAAGGAAGAAAAAAAGACTGGAAAGTAATGCCAGGGTCCATATCAGCCATTCATCAGGGACTTCTGTTCAGTTTGAGCTGTGCACATTTTAAATATTTTATTTAGTTGGGTTTTTTTTTTTTAGTCTCAAATTGCCACCAAACTATGTTTTGGTTTTCCCTTTTATCTGATGGAGATAAAATACGTTTGGACGTGAAAAATTATTCACTTCCTAATTCTCAAGTGAAATTGTAAGAGTAGTCAAATTAGGCGTTTGCATCCAGAACAAGATAACCCTTGGTCTTGGGTCACTTTTTCCCTCTAAATGGCATGTATTGGGGGAAAGGGGGTAATGAGTTGTCTGTTGTTTTTAATAATTAAGTAACCTTCCAAAGAAAACGATTGAAATCTAATCCTCAGACCACTGGAAGCTTTCACATTTCTCTGGGAAGCAGATTCTTCTAAGCTTGTGTGTTATTGATCTATTAAAGATGATACTGGTTAAAAAATAAAACCTCATTCATCAGTTGAGACATACTCAGTACTATTAGCTAAAAACAGAAAATGGATGTTGCGGTGGTGGTTATACTATGAATGATAGTTCCTGCAAAGCTTGCTCTTGGTTCATTAATCTCTATAAAATGCATCTTTTATAGGTTTTTAGTTGTTTATCCTATACTATTAACCATGGATGGATGAATGAAGCAAAATGAATTTAAGCCATTTTGTATATGATCTTTTTCTAAATCTAGAGACTGTTCAGTTAGGCTATTTAACAAAAACAGCAAAATTTCAGTTATAAAGCATTTTGTTTTTAAGGAATTATTATTAGCATCTTTATCATTGAATTACTTGAAAGTGATTAACGTCTGTTATTCAATTTAATTTTATAGCTATGTATTAAATTTGTGTAAAAATTTATTAAATTTATTAGATCTTCAGTATTTTATATTTGGCTTTAGCCGTATGGAGCAGGCAGAAGTATAAGCCACAATCCCTGCCTTACTTCTAGGATTTTTGAAAGTATTTACTTGGGAAAAAAAGAATTCCATTTTTATAATATATTTGGGAGTATTATATATATATAATATATATAATAATATATAATAATGTATAATACTTGGGAGCTCAGGTCTAAAGTTAAAACAAAACTGGACCCTTGTGGCAGACCCACCACATACTAACAGGGTGACCTAGGACAAGTACTTGCCTTCTTTGTGCTTAGTCTCTTCTGTAAAATAATAATAATAGGGGCTGCTGGTTAGCTCAGTTGCTCATAACTGTGCTCATAACTGTGCTCAGTTAGCACAGTGCTCATAATACCAAGGTTACCAGTTTGATCCCTGCGTGGGCCAATTAGCTGCGCCCTCCACAACTAGATTGAAACAACTACTTGACTTGGAGCTAATGGGTCCTGGAAAAACACACTGTTCCCCAATAAAAATCTTTTTAAAAATAAATGATGATAATAATAATAATAATAATAATAATAATAATAATACCTAGGTCATAAGGTTGTTATGAAAATTGCAAGTTAATACATAGAAAGAACTAATAAATGCTAGACTTCATTGCTGTTTTTATTGTCGTTACTAATACATTTTCTATCATACTTTTATGTTATAATAAAGTATGCAACGTGACGGAATACAGAACAGCACAAGCCAGATACTTTCTCTGCCTTCAACCCTTTCCTCATTCTGTTGACTCACCCTGGGTGACCTCAGCTAGGTCCCATGGCCCCAGCACAGCCTACATGGTAGTGACTCTCAAACCTTCATCTCCAGCCCTGTCTTCTCTGTAGTTAACTATGCATAGCCAGCTTCCTCCTGAAGGATATCCCGTAGGCACCGCATGCCACACTCAGCTCACCATCTGCCCTCTCCACTTTCTGGTAGACCTTCTCTTCCGCTTACAAATATCTGTAAAGTCTTTTGGAGTTCTGTGTCCACCTTCTCTTTTTGCTTCTTCCCCAGAAGAGCAGAAGTCCAGCAAAAGGAAGGGACTTACAGTTAAATAATAGATGGAACTGGGTAGCAGGAGGAAAAGGAGATTCTCTGTCTTTTCCCTCACCCCCACTCCAAGTCCAGGGCCAAGCCCTGATTCTGCCAACACTCAAAAGTGGCCTGGATCTGTGTTGAGAAAGGTACTTGCTGATATTAACTGCCGCCCCCAGTTCAGTAAATAGACATTAATCAAAAGCTTTATGTTACTTGTTATTCAAAAGGAGATAATAGAGTAAAAGACTCTTTGTTCAGTCACCATTCCCAACAAGCCAGCGTTCTCTCCAGTTGTTCTATTAGCCTTGCCCTACAAGTCTGAGTCACTGCATTAGGATATAATGGGCTGTACTCACCTGTTTGTACTACAGCATGACCCTTCTCTGTCAGCTACACATTCAGGCTCTTTGAGGACCATATGATCGTTTTGCAAGCAGCCCAGTTGAGTGGTTCACTTTCCCACACTCCTTTCCGCAGCTCCACCCTTAATGTAAGAAAGAGCAGACAGCAACCATAGACACATTCAAACTTGTAGAAACACCACAGGAATACAGAGCTGTTATTTAAAACAAGTAAAGAAGCCCAGATGTATTTAAAACATAAGGTTTTAAATAACAGAGTACTCTTGAAAGGCTTTTAGCCTACAAGTTGGTGGAATGTAGCATAATTTAATGTCCTTGTACTTGAATATCTGCGAATGTCATTTCTGATTACAAAATGCAACTTTCTCCCCAATGTCTAATTATAGGAAGAACACCAATTTAATCTAAAGGAAATTGGGTGCTCCCAATCCTATTTGACCCCCTACTTCTCCCCACAAATGTCAATCAAGACAGAGGGAATAACTAACACTCTAATCTTGTATGTGTTTTATTTGCATTTCATCCTTAAACTTACAGATAAGATCAAGCAGCTAGTTCTTGTTTAAAAAACAAAACAAAGCTCCCTGCCTCAAATTGCCAAGTAAAACATGTTTCTCCTATCTATAGAGTTTATTAAATTTTATGTATAGACTTTATGAAGTATTTAAATTATCTGTCTATTGTTATATGCTATCCTCATGCTTTCTGCCATAAAATGTGTAAGTTATTATAAACTCAGAATCTCAAAATGGGACAGATGATGCAGATTACCAAATACATTTCACTGATTCCATTCAATTTACTTATTTTAACTTTTTTTTTGCAGGTCACAGAGCTGAGTATATGACTACAAGGTAGGAAAACATTTCATCGTAACTCATAGCGTGTCTCACGCTCTTTTCTCTTTAACAGGAAGCAACCATTTAAATGCTGAGAGAATGAAATATTTTGTTAATGAACATGGAAAGATAGTTTTGGATTGACCAAAAACAGTAATGTGAAATGTTTCGGGTTCTCCCAAAGCTAGCTTTGCTCTGGCAGGTCTGAAGATTTCCCGATGGAATTATAAAGCTCTTTAATGAGCCAACCTAGTTGTGTGTGTGTGTGGGGGGGGGGGGGGGAATACCTGAATTGAATGGGTTTGGTTGATCTAAATTTCTAGAAAAAGTCCAAAAAGACTTTTGATTTAGCAATTTAATTAACAGGTAACGTTATGCATATATCTCCTGTGTTAGCAAATAGAAAGTATGATTAGTTATATTCTGCTCCTACTCTCCCCTTATGTCATATAAAAATTAGAGCTATGTGGAATACTCTTAGGATTTTAGCTCTCTACCCCTTTTTGGTTCACTTTAAAGATTTAACTTTTAATGCCTACAACCACATTGCATTTCTTTGGTTTTTTTTTAAATTTTTATTGTTTAATTCATGGAAGGATTTTGAAACTGCTGCTGAGAAAGAGCAAGCCTTTTTGAAGCAGATTCTGATTTGGGTTGGGGAAAGTTTATGGCACCTTTTATTTTTCTATGTCCACATTTGTGCAACAGCCAAAAAATACTCTAATTGACATAGCCAGACTTTGCACTTTTGAAGTTGAGTTCTCTTTGAGATAAGAGACATTTAGGACACTGGTGGGCCTGTTGCAGTAATTGGCAAGTTGATTTTTAAGATTCTGTAATGTTCCTGCTAGACAGTTTATTCAAAAGGAAGCCCCCCTCTTACTTCTTGGTGAACCAGCTAGAAAGTACAGCTACTGACTTGTCTAAACTTTACAAAAATACTGTAGTTTTTTTCCCGCATATCAGTGACAATGAGTAGTATTACTTCTGATTGTAATATGCAGCTATGGAGCCTTTTTCACATATAGTATCCCTTTGCACTATCAACTATTTTACCTGTTGTTTCTAAATTATAAATATTGTAAGGCACTTAAATTTTTTTTCAAAAAGGAAGGAATGCAAATACATTAATTTGCAATGAGAACTGTAATTGCCAAACAGACTTGACATTCACATCACTCTAACCGGTACTTTTTCTCATCCACACGGGCACCCTACTACATAGGCAGCCAGATTAGCAGGAAGTTATGTGGTAAGCACACACCCAGAATGAATCATATTATTCGAAAGAGTCATAACAAGGTGGAACGGGCCTGGCTTTGTTCACCTGGTGTGTACGTAGTAGAGCCAGAACCGTCAGCACCCCAGCCTGCCTGAAAAGCCACGTCTGCCCTGGAAATTACTTGGATAGGCAGTTTGTTTTCATCTCAAGTCTCACAACTTTCGTATTTGCACATTTGCCTCATATTTTAGAACTGTTGGGAGAGACTTTAGTATTTGCACATTTGCCTCATATTTTAGAACCGTTGGAGAGACGATTTTCAGGCCTTTAGTAGAAAACTCACACGACATCCCTCCATTAGCCCCAGACAGGGGTTACCCTGCATCTCTCGGTCAACCAGGAGCAATTACCCAGGGCCACTAGGGGCTTTGGCTCCAGCTACAATTTTGCTTGTCCCACAAATCAGTGACCAAAGGAAATGAGCCTGTGTTCTTATCCTTTTAGCTTTAACCGCTCCAGATATCACCACATGTTGGACCTCGTTTTAATAACCATTATTTTTGGTTTCTATATTTTATGCTTTGCTATCTTCAGTTGACACTGAAGAGACTGCCCCTGTGAGGGTTAAGCAATGCCTAGGGATAGTAAAGGACTGATTTGCAAGTGTGCCTTTTGTATACAAACCAGCCAATCCAGAGCCCATCCATCCCCCTCAGCCACCTCCTTTATCTAGCTTTCACACTCAGAGCCACTGTTCCCATTCCTGAATCCCCCAAACGCCAGGTACCAGACAAACAGGGACAGTTCCCGTGCCCCAGAGCCCACCAGAATTTTTCAAACCAGCCCACCCTAAACCTGCTCCCCCTGCATGCCTGTTCCTTCCCACGGACCCACAGCAAAGGCTCTTGCCCGCATTTTCCCTCACTCCCTCTGCCTCCTGACTTACTCTCCCACTTTCCCACGTGACCCCCATGGAGTGGCATACCCCTCTTATGGAGAACTGCGAGGAACAAACTGCCTTTTCAATGACAGTTGCCTTCTGATCTGTTGACCTTACCACCCCTGAATAAAAACAAAGTCTAAAACACTTCTAAAATAATGAAAAGAATGGATGAAATCTAGCCCATATGGTTAAATTTCTTGGTGGGCAATTGTTTTCTGGTTTTTGTTTGTTTGTTTCTTTTTTTATCTACCAGATCTTCTCCTCTGTGAATGGCACAGAATTCAGTATATAAAACGAGATTTCAGAAATTTCAGCAGTGGCACATTATGACATGCCACCTGGTAGACATTTCCATATTTGTTTCTAGACACTTGCAGAAGCCCCCTTTACCTGAAGCACCATGCAACTTCAGGTGCTGCTTGCTGCATGCCCCGCTCATCATGAGCCCACCTGCTGGGAGAGTCTTAGCATGTGGCTGTGGAAGGAAGGCTGTCTCAGCAAGTTTGTTCCCCCATCTCTCTTAATGGTGACAATGAAGCCGCGCAGCCTTCCACATAAATTTTCAGTCTTTTGTTTCTATACTCCTTTCTGAACCTTAATGAATGAAAAAGGTCATTCTTCCTAGAGAGTTTGCACCTTTTTTTTTTTAAAGATTTTATTGGGGAATTGGGGGAGGGGAACAGCGCTGGGGAATCGGGGGAAGGGGAACAGACAAGTTGCTCTTGTTTTGTTCTTCAGTCTAGTTGTGGAGGACGTTGCTTCACTGGCCCAAGTTGGCACCATCATTTCGCTCTTCCCCGGCGAGGCAGATCAGTCGCCGGCCTCTGGACGGCCGCTCATGGCGGCTGCTGGCCACTCACACTGGCTGCTGGCTACACATAGTAGCCCATGGCAACCCGCTGCCACAGGGGCTGCAGCCTACGCCGTCGTTGGCGACCCACAGCAGCCCAGCTCCAGGTTGAGCTGTTGTTCAGCATCTTAGCTGTGGAGGGCAGTGTCACTGGCCCTCATATGTGGGGACCCAAGCCAGTTCTTAACTAACACGCCACTCTGCCTGCCCGAGAGTTTGCAGCTTAATGTAGGGCTTTACCTAATTTCTAAATGTGATGTACATCCTCCTATGAGCCTTCCAAGTAGGAAATTTACATTGAAATGTCTAGAGAGAGGTCTAGTTGGGACCCTTCTTCCACTTAGCACATTTGTAGAAGTCGAGACAGGTAATCCTGGACCTCTTTGCTCTAAAGGGGGAGAACAGAAGTGGTTCCCTGTCCAATTACCGAGCAAGATGATGCAGGGTTTCTAAATACAGTACATGGTACCCCGGACACACATATGCCACCAAAGCAAATAGACTGAAGATGGAGAGAGGCCAGAACGGAATAAATGGGGGCATCCTAATGCTCTACAAATAATTAAGTGATAAGATAGTTTGTCTTAAAGAAATAACAATTCACGCGAGTCTGTACACCCATCCCCCAGAAGCAGCATTGAAACCCAGCTCTATCTTTTCACTTGCCATCTATTAACAATTACTTTTGCAGAAAATCAAATCCCATTCATATCTGGGGTATACTGAACAGAGGTGATGTTTGCATTGAAGAACTATATTGTAACTAAAAATATGGTATTTAACTTCTCGTATTGGGATCTATCAAAGCTCTTAATTTTTATGATCCGTCATGTCTTCTGAGTGATTTTTAAGCCAAACGACACAAACCTTGGTTCGTAACACTTGGCCAAATAGCTCCTGGTTCTGTTTGGTGATGCTTGTCATTTTGAAACAAACTAGCCAATACATGTCAACTACAATATACAAGAAAAGACTAGTCGGAATGAATAGCTTGTATGGTTTTTGATACATAAGTAAAAGTAAATACACGGGGAAGGGGAAGGACTAGTTCCCTCCAGTGGGTGGGAGTGGAGAAGACACACAGAATTCCTGTGTTTTATAATTTTGATGTGACCTATGGGTGTTTCATTTATTGTTTGATTTCTGCCATGCTCAGTAATTATATTCCCTTCCCTTAGGCCTCCAAATGTTCCCCCTAAGCCCCAGAAACACAGGAAGTCCAGACCCCGCTCACAGTATAATGCTAAGTTGTTTAATGGGGATTTGGAAACATTCGTCAAGGTACTGGCACCAGCCATCTGGGTGGCTGTTCTCCATGCTTCTTACTATAATGGCTTCAGCCTCTCATAAAAGGAGGCAGGTCATTATGTCCAAGTCTGTCCTGGGGCTCTTTGCTTTCCCAGAAAATCAATATAATATTTCCTGAAGTCAGAGAGAAAAGAATATTGGGTGTGGGTGCCTTCAGAAGAGGAAGTCAATGTGGGTATTCTGTGGGCAAAAGAAAAAGCCCTCTTTATTTAAAAAAAAAAAAAAAGACTATAATTTATACAAAAAGGAAAAGAGCTACCTGGTAAAATGTTTGTCTTTACTCATGCACATGAGATGGCACAAAATATATTTTTGAAGTTCATTGTTAAGGTAGCTCTGAAGATGAGCAGGAGTTTTAGTTTCCCGTGACTTGAGGAATTCATTATATTGGATAAATTGTAAGACCCTGTGGTCTGTATCTTATATCTCTGCTGTGTTTACTCTGTCTTCTTTTTCATCCTGTATTTCTGATAATGCTTCTAGCCGAGGACGAAGGAACTCGCACGCGAGACATCAGGTATAGTGCTCGAGGGAAGTGAGGGCACAACCTCGTTCACTCTTGGTATCATTTTCAAATCACAGTCATGCTTGGCTTTAATTAGGTTTTTTTAAGTTCTTTAAAAGAAAAATGTTTGCAGTTAGAAATCACAGTGGTTTATATAAAAGCTTTACTGAGAAAGAAGTTATAGAAATCAAACACTGATTTAAGGAGGGCAGTGGATGGGGGAGAGGGGTTGTTTCTGTATGAGGGGTGAAAAGGATAACTATTGCATTGTTCTGTACACCGGAAACTAATAATAAAAAAAAAATAAGTAAAAAAATAAAAAGAATAGCCTTCTCCAGTAAAATTAGATAAACTCTTAATTTTTATATTATATATTTGGCAAATGCACCAAATTTGAGTCACTGGATTTTATTAAGGAAAGTCAGTGTTAAATATCAAATGCATATTTAATTTGGACCCTTAACGTAAATTTTACAAAAAAGAGAACTTCGTCTTTCATAGCTAACATTATGACATGAGCTGTAGTGTTTCTGAAGACTAAATTTATATAGGAAACCACATCATTGCTAATCTCCCTTAAGAATGTTACAGGTATCTTACTGTCTTAGTAATATATTACAGATATCTTTCTTTAAAGACAGATCTTTTATTGAATATATACACTAATGGCTTAAAAACGTGTGTGTGCGCACCCATGTGGCATGTGTGTGGACAGGTAAATAGATACATACATACATACATACATACATGGAGAGGTTGAAGACCTCTGGCAGTCTTAAAAATGAATCCTAACCCTGGAATTAAGTGAAAGGCCACTAGACAACCTAAATAGCAATCACAAATGCACTGCCGTAAGCCTTAAACCCAGAAGAGCCTTATTGGCTCTAATTTAATAGAAAATTATTGTCAAATTTGATTATCTAGTTTCCCAGCCCAGGGCTTCTAAGCAGGGGCAAATTAGATGGACAGAAAGGAATGATAAAATGAAAGCACTGAGATGTGCAACTGATAGCCTGCCAGAGAGAACTAGAGTATAGGAAAGCTCAAAGCAGCATATGGATGACTCCGTTATATCTGATGACACAGTGTGAGAATGACTGCTTAAGATGCTAGGAAAGCACATGTTATGTTTTTAAAAAGATTTTTCATAAGAACAGTTAAAGGAAACCAAATTTAGGCACTAAAGAAGGAGTAAACCAGTTATGATGGGAAATTCACTTAAGTGAGCCTTTCACCATCCCAGATGGCACATTTAAGGATCTTTATAGCAATAATAAGGTGGATACAGAGATCGCTAGACTTCTAAAAAGTGCTCCATCAGTTGAGGTCCCCACAGTAGCACTGTGAGACAGCAGGAGCAAAACTATTTTTTCTCTTTCAACCATGGGGAAACTGAGGCACAAAGGGGTTTGTTTGAATGGTAGGTGGAACACAGCTCATTTTTTCACTTCTTGTAAAATATTCTACCAAAACACCTGGCTTCATGAAATTAAATTAAAACACACACACACACACTCATTACTTTTTTATTCCAATATTCATTATATCTGAATGATATACTGATAACAGCTAAAAGACTAGCAATTACTTGAGTAAATGTAAAGACAAAAATATTTTAAGGAATATGCAAACCGAAGGCATCTTTTAGAACTATTTTAGTGCAAACATTTTTCTTTTAATAACCTTGTGTTCTTTGTTTTTCTTTTTGTTTTAACACTAAATTCAGCAGAGGCGCAAATTAATATTCTCCTCTTATCACTTACATCAAAATATTTGTTGCTGTTTTAGATTACACTGTTATATGAATTGGTCAGATAAAGGCTACTTTCGCTAAACCATACTTATTTCTTAAGAAAAATCTCCTCACTTAGTAGATTTGGATGTAATTACATGGTTGTTCTTGAGCCAACTAGTCTTCACTAAAAAGAGTTTTTATTCTTAAAGACCTTCTTTTAAAAATTAATAAAGTTTACATTCCCAGAAAAACTTAATACAGGCTCCAGAAGTAATTGAGTCATTAACTGGCTTCTACACTGCTTAGGTTGTCTTAAAACCTAAAATAAAACTATTCCTCAAGTAGTGTATTACCCATTCTAGGAACAGAGAAGAGTTTAAATTGCTGAGCCACATTGTTTCCAATTCTTCCCCTGTGGCTTAATTGGAAAGGTTAATGGAGTCTGAATTATTCTAATATATTAAGACAGCCACATTCTTCTTGTGTTTCAGAATAAAATCCTCATGAATTAGTATCTGATGTCAGCTATTCATTTTGAACCTCCATCTTTCCAGTGAAGATCTAATTTCTGAAAGAGCAGAGTCTTAAAAAAAAAAAAAAAGGACATGAAAAATAACTCCATAGCCAGTAACCTTCTTTAACTACATGGGGTGCATGGCATTGATACATATTTAACTGGGACCTTGGCAGCTCCTTCATCTCATTTGTCATCCTATACATGTTTTAAAGCATTTCCAGAATTCACATTTGTTCAGTAGAGAGCTCTGACTATATTACAAGATGTGGGGAAAGGTGGCCAAAAAATGTGCCTTCCTAAGGAAACAAGATCTACTGGGATGTGCCTTTGTGCCATTTTTTTCTTAATCCTTAAAATATGAAAAAAAAAAACAATGAAAAATCTATAAGGATGAGTAAGTTCTGATGCAAACTAAATAAATACGTGACACATAAACATCTGTAGAGCAATTCTCGTATGACACATCTGGAAACACGTCTCTCAGGGATGTGACAGAGAGGGTCCTGAGATGGCTGAAAGGACAGCCAGTCTGTCAGCCCTATGATACTACAGTTAGAATACAGAGAGTTCCTTTAAGGTCCATTAGATTAATATTTATATAAATAACCTTTTTGAAAAATGAGTGATTCTTATATTTGTTTGGGTATGTGAGCCTTAATATACGTAAAAGAGATGAATTAGCTTTGAAATCTCTATGCACAAGAGAGTTCAATCGAAGCAGGATTGCCTTAAATGTATTTAATTTAGTTTGTTACAGAACTGAAATATACCTTTGATTAAATAAAATTTTATTTGGGGCTTTTGTGAAATATTTTAGAGGGGGTGTATTTGGACACAAACACCAGAAAGAGTAAGAATCAGTCTTTATTATTATGTGTGATTTATGCCTCTCCCTGGCAGCTAACTGGTTTCCATCTCCTACCCAGGACTCGGGACAGGTCATCCCCCTCATTGTGGAAAGCTGTATCCGGTTCATCAATCTCTACGGTAAGCCATAAACTACAGAATTCTTATTTTAAAAAAATTAATCACTAGGAGTATTTCAATAAATGTGTCTTTCCATTTAACATTTAATTCTTGAGAAAGGGGTTGGAACCTTAGAGGATGTGTTGCAACCTTTCACCCTCTTTCCCTCTGTTCCCTTTAGGTCTTCAGCATCAGGGGATTTTCAGAGTGTCTGGTTCCCAGGTGGAAGTCAATGACATTAAAAATTCATTTGAGAGAGGTAATTGCATGTCTGTACCTATAAGCAAGCCAGGTTAAAAAGTCATCCTTTTGTGGAGAGTGAAGTGGCATACTCATTCTGTATATTCACTTATAGTTGACATGCATAAGGGTTCATTTTCAAATTCCCCTTTCTGATTTCAGAATCTTCCAGTGCTGAAGGCAGCTTTTATTTTATTTTTTTTTTAGCTGAGCCATCCTGCCACCTGTTGGCAGCTCAGCGGCTGCTCAGCTCAGGCCGGGACTCAAACCGCTGTTGCTCAGAGCTCAAACTCTTGAGCGAGCTCTTAACCAACTGAGCCACTTGGCCGGCCCTTCTGAAGGCAGCTTTTAGATATGCTGTGAACACCACCTCGCCACTTTGGGAAACACTTATTTCTTTCATTGTAGGTGTTCACAATTAGATGAAGCCTACCATATTTCTGATACATTTTGCTGATCTGTATAGTGTAGCCGGACAGACCTAGATTGTGTCTTTTTTCCCAGTAGGTTAAGAAACACGAGTGTAGTATTTGAATTCATGTCAAACTAAGATTACAGATTTTAGCTTCAAAAAACAAAAGTTGGGTAAAATTTTAAATCCCACAATATTTTATTTTAAGATTTTGGTAACTTGTAAGGGATTGTTTGGTAGCACAAGATTTTTAAAAAGCTTTATTTTAGTCAACTATTTTTAAGTTAATCATGGGGTGGGATATCGAAGCCAATTATTTTAATTTTAGTACCGTATAATCTTTCATGACGTATAATTAAAAGAATCATGTATATATAGAAGTGTGTGTGTATAGAAACATATTTTTGTTCAAAGGAAAAAGAGAAACACTGCATGTAACAAATTTTTTTTTTTTTTTTTTTAGGGGAAAACCCTTTGGCTGATGACCAGAGTAACCATGATATTAACTCAGTTGCTGGCGTTCTGAAGCTCTATTTCCGTGGGCTGGAAAACCCCCTCTTTCCTAAGGAAAGATTTAATGATCTGATTTCTTGTATCAGTAAGTGGACTTTTTTTTTTTTTTTTTTAGCCTTTTCCCACGAGAATTGTTTCACTCACCAATTTCCTGGAAAAGTCAGTGGCCCCTCTCCACATATCCTCTCCCCTCCCCCACCATTACCACCAAATTTCTGCAACCATTTGTTTTCTTTCTGGTTCCAGCCTGAGTCATCCTCCCAGCTGTGGCCTCGCCCTTAGCTGAGTGGGCTTTGCTCTTGAACTTGCTCAGGCTCTTAGAGCCCAAGAGTTTCCCACTGAGTGGTTAGAATAAGGCAGAAAGGCAGGTCCCAAACAGGTAAGGGAGCGGAGGAAGTTGTAAGCATGGAAATGTAACTTCATTTTGGCTTTTGGTTCTTGGCTTTCTCCACCAGGCTTAGGAGTGGGGTAATTTGTCTATCTTGAATATTACTTCAAGAAATAAGGTAAAATGAGATACACGATCGTTATTACAGTGCAGGAACACCAGGTGGTAACTGTCTATCAGTGGGCATTCCCAGCTAACAGGCAGAGTTGATCTGGGACTGTTGGATGATATATTATGAAACCAATAATCATCGGCAGAGTAAAGCATTGATGTTTTCTTCAGTGGGGGCTTTTGACACTACTGGAAGGAAGATGAAAATAATATCGGGAATGAGGTATTAACCATAATCCAATTTCATCTAAAAATGTAGTGCCCCTTTCATTCCATTTTCCCAGACAAGGATCTAGAGCGGACTTAAATCACACAGGGAGGGCTTTTGTAAGAATCAAGCTTTACTCTAATGAGGAAACCTCCTACCCCCGACTTCCCAACCTCCCACCTGAATCAACAAGTCCTATTGACTTGACCTCAAAAAAAATCTCTCTACTCAGCCCTCCTTCCCATCCCCATCCCAGTTTCTCCCTGGGGCTGTTGTTACAGTTTCTTAAGTGAATTCCCAAATTCTAGGTTTTGCCCTCTGTCCACACCCTCCACATCATTCTATCTTTCACACTGTGGCTGGATTTGAAAAGACAAATTGAGTTATATCACTCCCATCTACCCTCACCCGCCCCCCCCCTTCAAACCTATTTTCAGTCTTGCCCACCTTGGTATGGCCAATCCATAGAATTTAATTCTTCCTGTATCTGACTTCTTTCTGCTTCTGTATGCTTATCTCCTGCCTCCTCTGCCCTGTTTCCTTTCTATTTCAGCAGTGGCAAACTAAGCATGCCGGGCCATTTCCCACCTCCATGCCTTTGCCCGTGCTGTTTCGTCTGCTATCCTTGATAGCCATTTGACATCTGCTACGATGGCTTTGCTGAACTGGTTGGTACACCTCCCAGAGCACCACCCTCCCCACCATCCAAAGCAGAATTAGTCACTTTCTCCTCTACTAACATTCCATTGTGTACTTAGGTCGATAATTTGTCTTACCACCCCATGTTGCAATGTTTTTAACCTCACTGCCTCCCTGTACTAGAGAGCAAGTTCAGGGAAGAGTTTAAGAATGTAGGCTCTGGACTCAAGCAGCCTAGGTCCAAATCTTAGGTCCAACTCCCAGGTCCAAATTGCTCACCAGCTGTGTGACCTTAAGCAAATCTCTTTGCACCTCGGTTTCATCAGCTATAAAATAGGGAAAATATTAGGTCATGTATCATAAGGTTGTAAGAATTAAATGAGTTAGTACATGTAAAGTGCCAACATGAGTGCCTGGCAGAGGTTGTTCAATGAAAGGCCTCTATTTAAACTCTACAGGCCTCTGAGGTCTTATTGGTTTATTCAGTTTTGTAGTCCCAACATTTGACATAGTTAATTCCAGGCACATAGTAAGTATGTAATTCATGGTTATTAAATCGCATTTAAATGAAATGAAGAGTCAAAATTCCACCACAGTTCTTTTGTTGGCATTTATGCCTAAAGTCTTGGCTCTTGTTGGGTGTGAATTCCCCAGTCATAATTACCTTCACCCCCCCCCACCCCCCACCCCATACAGTCTGACATCTTGTGTGGAATTCAGAAGTGTGTCTCTGGTCTATTCCAAGGCCCTTGCATAGTCTGAGTCATCTTAGTTGGCCTCTGACCCAGCTGGAAAGAACTGAAAAGGAGGTGTCACACGTCTGGAATCCTCCTTTGGCCCTGTCCAAAGATTTCCCTCACATCCTCGCCAGAAAGCTTAAATCTGGAAAAATAAGAAGCACTCTGCAATGCTTGGATGTTTTCTTGGTACATGCGTTATATCAACGTTTACACATGTACTAGTTGGATAAAGAGCATTGGGCAACATTGTCAGTTACTACTGTAAAATTATTTCACACTTTCATTGGATGAGAAATATTTCTTTGTGGTTATTAAAAGCTGAAGCCATAGAATCAGAAATTTCTAGATTCAAATCCTAGTGTTACCACTTAGCAGCTTTATAACCTTGGGCAGAGATTAATACTTAATCTCATTGAATATCTGTTTGTTTGTCTACTTCATAGAGTCTGTGTAGAGAATGAGATAATCCATATAAAGTGTTTAGCATCATTTCTGGCACACTAAGGCTTACACCTTAGTAAGTGCGGCTAGCTGTCATCATTTCAACTATTACAACTGCTCCTACTATAAACTCAGGGCACATATGCCAATACCTGGGTTAGCCACTTACCATTCTGTCTGTTCTGCTAAGCATGTGTTTCTTTGACATAATTACCTCATGCATTTGGAAATGTTAGTATAACCCACAAGTTGCATTGGTTCCAGCAGAATTTAACCCAGGACATTAAATGTTTTGTAACAATCAAAGACAAGTTTTCCACAATTAAAGAGTTAGGCTTAGCAAAATATGAAGACCGTAAGGAAAAAAATGGAAAATCTACAGAAATAGCTTTCTTTCATGCAAACAGTGCCTTACATGAAATGCTGCAAATACAAATGAAGAAGCTGTAAAGACATTGACCCCTGTATTAGGACAATGGATTAGTAATTCTTAGGTTAAATTTTATGAGAATAGTCCCTACTGGAAATGAGTACCCTCCAGGACCTACATCTCCAAGAAGCAGGAGCCCTGGGGTTTACAGCTGCTAAGGATGCTAGGTGCACACACCAGTAGAGATTTAAGTAGGATTGTTAATGTTTTTGTTAGTGCTCTGGTAACAAACTTTCATAGGCGTTAAGCAGTCTGTCCCAACCCTACTTTTCCCCATAAATCCTGTTATTTTTAGTGCACAGTTTTGCAGAATAGGATGTTTTCAAGAGCATGTAATGGCACTTATATAACAACCCCTTTTCTTCCAACATCTAATCTCTTAAGAAAAAGAAGGGATTCCTGGCTATTATTGAGTTATCTCTAGGTAAGCACTTTCTCTTACCAATGTGACCATGATGTATCTGTATTTTTCCTGGATTTTCAGTAAGTTCCATAATATATCCACCATTTTATCCTCTCTTTGATATTACAAACTTTTGATGATTTGAACCATTGTTTAAGCCTACAATGTGCAAAACTTTCTGGGGATTCAAAGACTTGATTTTTGCATTCAAAGGGCTTAAAATCTAGTAGCGGAGATTTACACGTAAATACAATCTAAGTTAGTATGTGATACAAGCACAAAGATTTAGAAGTTTTAGGAGCGAGAGAGATCTTATGGGGATCAATTGTTTTTATTCATGTCATCTTCTCCTAGAATTGCCATAATTGTATTTGATTTTCCCTGTTAAGGTAATTGCATGTGACAGTTATCTTTTATAGAGAATCTTCCCTTTTCATCTTTTCTAAGAGTTTACATAAACCTCTGGAGCACCTACTACTTTTCGCTTACCTGTGTTTGGATTGTTTGGGGAAAGATTTTTTTTTTTTAATGGTGAGTTATTATTAGGCCATTTTTATGTCCCTAAATACCACATTCTGTGGAAGCTTGCAGTATATGTAATAAAAGGGAATTGGTCTTAGCATTCTCTTTTTTTAATGTGCACTATTCATTCCCCAATTCACTGCAGATTTTTTTTTAGGAGTTGCTTATCTGAAGACTCGGTGAACTCAAATGCAATCTAAATTTCAAGTGACAAGCTTCGTAGTATTTCAGTTTCTCACCCACGGGTTTTTTTTTTGGTTTTTTTTTAATCATACACTTTGTGAATGGTTTTGTGACTGCTCCAGATTATGCCCACACAGCCTGGGCAGCTTCTAGAATGTCTGTGTATTATGGCTATGAGATTCCCTAGGGCATAAGTCCAAGTGACTTGCTCTAGAAGAGCTACTCAAGCAATTCTCGGTCTCTCCTGGCTGTTTCATGCTGTGCCCAGATGAAACATTTGCACTTCATTTTCCATGATGAGTTATTATTACTTAGGGGACTGCTCTCGACATGAGGAAACATTTTTTGGAGGTGGGGGGATTTTTTTTTTACCTATTGCAAAACCAATAAGTAGTCATTGTGGAATATGTGAAAAATATACAAAAGCACATAGAAGAAAATACTATTGTGCATAATGCCACTACCCAAAGAGAATCAATGGTGTGTACACATTTTGTTGCATTTCCTTCTGCTCTTTTTCTATTCATGTGCTCACTCAGTTTTTGTTTTTTTTAAAGATTTTATTGGAGAATTGGGGGAGGGGAACAGCGTTGGAGAATTGGTGAAGGGGAACAGACAAGTTGCTGTCCTTTTGTTCTTCAGTCTAGTTGTGGAGGACGTCGCTTCACTGGCCCATGTTGGTATTATCATTGTGCTCTTCCCAGGTGAGGCAGTCACCCTCCAGCCATTGGACGGCTGCTCACGAAAGCTCACGCCTGCTGCCAGCCCCACTGCAGCCGAGCTGTTGTTCACCATCTTAGCTATAGAGGGCGCAGTGTCACTGATCCTCATGTGGTATCTGAACCTGGGCCCTATTGCTCAGAGCTGGCGTCCCAAGCCAACATCCTAACCAACGCGCCACTCGGCCAGCCTCACTCAGCTTCTTTTTAAAGCCAAAGTAGAATTGTACTGTTTATTCTGTTCAGAACCCACCTTCTTTTTTGACTTTTTTTATTATAAAAAATTTCAAAGATATACCAA